GCTCTACTTCATTGTTCACATCATAGTAAATCCCTAGACTCCTGATCTAATTTACGCTATTAGAGTTATAAGTGTTGGGTTAATTTAGAGTATTAATTTTATGGTACTTAAATGACTCTAAAAGATTTCAAAAACAAAAAAAAAAAAAAATGACTCTAAAAGAAAAAAAAAAAAAAAAAGAGGTAAATAGACAATGATAACAAGTAGGTGATGGTTGTAATATTATTGTTTTGAGTCATTTAAAGGCAACAATTTGAATACAGATTATGTAAGCAAAATAACGGTATTTAGAATTTTTTTACAAAGTAAGATCAACTATTTATATAAGTATGTCGTATAAGGAATAATAACAATTTACAACATAAAATTATTATCACATTTTGAATTGGTGAAACCACAACGACTTCTTACTTTTTGTGTGACACTAACTAATGGCTCTCGCCTCTCTGTATGGTTGTATAGACACATTAACAATTGTTAATGCAAAATTATACTTTTAATCATTATTATACATTATACAAATAATAATAACAACAGATGTTATAATTTCACCAAGCACGTTATATTGTTACAATGTTACGTAAAGTAAAATTAAGTTTGAAAATTTTAATTTCGTACTCTTTATATTTGGTACGTAGTTCTCTTCAATGGGTCGCAATTCATAATTCTTTGAAAATTTGCACATATTCAATTCAACTAAAAAAAGTTATCGCTAGAAATTCAAACACCCATTTTCATGTTTCATATGCAAAAAAAAAAAAAAAATGCAGATTCATTCCGAAATAAGTGACTAAGTTGGTAGAGTATAATTCGTAAAGCACACCGCACAATTTTTTTTAAATGCAATTTACCTTTTCAATGCACACATTCTTGAATAGTAGTTACAAGTTTCTCTCTTATTGATTACTGTTTAATTTGTATACAAAATTTTCAAACATCTAATATCAAATTTTGTTATTGACTACAATTCATTTTTTTTTAATGTCAAATTAATCAATTAAGTCCAACTGAATAGTCTAACACAAATTATATTGTGGACCAGAATCCACCATGTGCACATGCGAATTGTGAACCTAGTTTAGATTTTGTACATACAATTAACATATTATGTATTCACAGTCTATAAATTATGTACATTTAATTATAATTGAATATACATAATATATTGGGAAAATGACACTTTTTCCCCCTGAGTTATATACCTATAACATTTTTTCCCCCTAAATTATTGAAGTGGCTGTTTTTCCCCCTGAAAAGTTAAATAGACATATTTACCCTTAAACTAAATATTTAATTTATTTTTTTCTCCAAAAAATTATGACCATAATTTGGTTCAAACTAAACAAACACTATAGCAGCCAAACCGAAATATTCCAATTACAATTTAGAATCGAAATTCGATATTTAGAGTTTATTAAAATCGTGAACCGGAACGGACGGTTCATGTTTCGAACTGAAAAAAATAAAATACATTTATTATTGAATTTAGACTATTTTAAAATAAAAAATAAAATTTTAAAATAAAGACAGTTCAAAATCGCAAATCAGATCCGGAACCGCCGGTTCATGGTTCAAGATTCAACTTTTTTGATACATAATTTTAATAAATTGACATTTAAATATTGGGTTCTAGATCTGAATCATAACCATAAACTATTAATTCAATTGCTTTAGTAACGGTTCAATTCAAACCGAACCGTGTTCATCCCTACGTATACGCAATAATTTGTTGGAGTAATAAAATAAATAAAATGTTTACTTTAAGGGTATAAATGTCAATTTAATATATTAGGGGGAAAAAGCACCACTTTTAGAATAATTGAGGGGACTAATGTGCTTACCTAAATAATTGAGGGGGGAAAAGTGCTATAAGTGTATAACTCAGGGGTAAAAAGTATCATTTTCCCTAATATATTAATTAAAAATATATAATATATTAATAGCATGTATATAATCTAATTCAGGGGTGGAAAGCTAAAACGCTGTCACTAGCGGGAAGAATAACCTTGGCAAAATCAGTTTTAAATGCAATCCCGGTCTACACCATGCAGACGGCGATGCTTCCGAAAGGTGTCTGTGCCGAGATTGAGAAAAGAACCAAAAGATTTATATGGGGGAGCAATGACCAGACAGGGGGAAGGAAAATGAGCTTGGTCAATTGGGAGCTGGCTACTGCGGGAAAAGCGAATGGAGGTCTTGGCCTAAGGAAGATGCATGAAATGAATGTGGCTTGTATGGTCAAGTTGTGTTGGAGGTACCGAATAGAATCAACAGCCCTTTGGGCAAGAACTCTGGCTACTAAGTATAATCATAGGGTGGGCGCCACGATGGACATTTTGAATCGTCGCAATATCTCAAATGTTTGGCGTGGTATGTGTGGTGCTAATAGCATTCTGGAGGACCGCGTCATGCGAATTGTCAGGGACGGTAAGTCAACAAGGTTTTGGATGGATAAGTGGCTGACCTCTTACCCTCTATACGACAAACTGCTTCATCCTCTGAGCCTTCCAGATTTATACGCATACGTTGGGGATTACTGGGACCAAACCACAGGGTGGAAATGGGAAATCCTCGAGCATTCCCTCCCGCGGGAAGAGCTTCTTATTCTCGCTGGCTTTGAATTAACAGAAGTTGGCGTCAATGACGAGTGGGGTTGGGAGCCGGACCCTCGTGGCCGGTTCTCGGTGCGCTCAGCCTATGCCGTGCTGGATCCTTCTCATGTCGGGTGTTCTGATCAAATGTGGAGTACACTATGGTCCTTGAGGGTGCCGGCCAAGATCTCTGTTTTCGCCTGGCTAGTGCGACAAGGGAAAATCTTAACAAATATGGAACGGGCAAGACGCCACCTTACGATTAATGAAGCTTGTTTTCGTTGTGCAGGTAAACAGGAGGATTTGAATCAATTGTTCAGAGACTGTGACGCTGCTAGACCAATTTGGGAATCTTCTTTGCATTGGCGTGTACGGGAAAATCTTCGCTACTTGAGCTGGGAGGACTGGCTAGCAGTAAACATCAGAGGAAGTGCGAATGATGGTTTCCCGGAGGACTGGCCCGAGAAGTTTAGCATGAGACTTTGGTGGATTTGGAGATGGCGAAACGATGAAGTCTTCAACGAACGAAACGTCGCGTGGGATCACAAGGCAGCTTGGCTGCAACAATATGATCATGAAATTCTTGGAGCTTTTAAAAAGAAACGGGCGACTCTACAGGGCCGAAATAGCTTTGTTGATGCAAGCATTTCGTGGAAAAAGCCAGAAGCGGGATGGTTGAAACTGAACGTGGATGGCAGTGTCAAACCATCCGGAATTGCGAGTTGTGGCGGGGTTCTCCGCGATGGGAATGGAGACTGGTGTAGGGGCTTCTCGTCCACGATTGGTAGGTGTTCTGTCGAAGCTGCGGAAGCATGGGGGGTGGTGCAGGGTCTTCGAATGGCGAAAACATATGGCGCCATGAGGGTCATAGCCGAGAGCGATTCTAAATCTTTGGTGGAATCTTTATGTACGGAAGAAGGCTGGAGACATCAAAATCACAATATTGGACGGTTATGCGTACGGGAAGCTTCAGGCCTTCTGGAAGTAAGATATACGCACGTTTTCAGGGAGCAAAATCGCGTTGCAGACATTCTAGCGGCAATGGGAGATGTGACTGGCACTGGCCTTCGTACCTATGAGACACCTCCGCATCAACTCATGGAGTTAATCACCCTGGACAAGATTGGTGCAACTTACACTCGTAGGGTCCATCGGGTTGAGTATGCCCGTAGAGTGGCTTAATTTGTCGTTTTGGGTATCCCCCTCCTTTCCAGATATAAAAAAATAATCTAATTCAGGGTCCACAATACTCATTGTGGATCCTGATTCACAATATAACAATTGATAGTCTCATTCGATCCCCTAATTAGTTCCAACAATGTATTTTAAATTGATAAAATACTGCAATTATGTTTTAGTATTACTTATATTGTTATCATTATTGTGACAATGACTAAATTAACACGGTCATTTTTATGCTTACATGAATTCTAAGTGTATACTTATATATATATATATATATATATATATATATAAATTTTCTTTTTATTTTTTTTAAAAATAAAGAAATAGCCATGAGCATCTTTCAACACTTTCTTAAAATTTTTGGTACATCCATTTGTTCTTAAATCGATTTATTACTCACCAAAATCTTTCAAAAATTATTTACGATTGATGCTAAAATGTGAACGGTGTGTTTGACTAACAAATGTGTGAATGAGATGGCTAGAATCTCATTTTGATTAACTAAGATTTCAAATTTCTTATACACGATATAATTAAGATAATCTGATCTGGAAGTATGATGTTCATTGACAGATTAAGAAAATTTAAAAATTGCAGTGGAATTAATGACCGATGGTCTCTCAACTATGTCGTAATTACTAAATTCGTTCTCAACTATCAATTTTGACCAATTAAACCCTTAACTATTAATTTTGTAATCGATTTGGTCCTCTGTAATTACCAAATTAATCATTGATCAGTTTGATGGAAGACCAAATCGATTATGAAATTATTAGTTGAGGATTAAATTGGTCAAAATTGATAAATAAAGATCAATTTATTCATTACGACATAGTCGAGAACCAATCATTAATTCTTCTTAAAAGGTTGAATCCCCAACCCTAAGGGCCCCACACCCCTGTCCAACAGAGCGGAGGATGTAAATCATGGTAACTCAATTGAACCACAAATGCTAGACCTTTGTTCACTGCGCACAAGGAGCTCCCCTCACTTTGAGAGGCTGCTCCCACACTGTCGCTGATAGAGACTCAATTCTGGATTATTCTTCCCAAATTTCACTATATAATCAGTTGAACTGCCCATGCGGGTCCAGTCATTAATTCAATTGCAGTGTGTTTGACTTTTATTACAGTATAATAATAAGTAATATGATGTGGAGAAATGTTTCCTTTTCAGGGTGGGGTAAGAAAGAAAATGAGGTGAAGAATGAAGATTGGTGATTTCGCTATGTGTTTTTTAAAAAGAATTTTCAGAAATCATCAAATCCGACACCTTGAAAAACTCGCCCACTTTTGTTGTTTTAACATTCTTCGTCGAACCGTCTCTCTTACTCTCTTCCCCCCCTGGTTTCAGTATATCTAACCGACTTTTCATTGCAAAGTAGAATTTGAAATTCCGAAGCCATAGTAATTCTCACTCTTGCTTACGCACAAGGTACTCTTCTTTCCCACTTTAGTCTCATCATCTTCCTTTCGGAATTCTCCCCGCCGCACAATTTTGCGTGATCTTAGAATCTTTTTTTTTTGCTTGAATTTTGCTGGATCTTTGTGTTCTAGCGCGTGGTTCTACTGATCTTGTGTTCTTGAATGTGTGTTGTGTGCTCTGTTTGGCTGTTCTTGAGTCTTGAATTGTACAATGAACAAGAAGTGCAGTAGGTGGAGTCCATGAAATCTTGAAATTCTCTTTGTGGGATCGGAAATTTTGGTGAATGGGTTTCTGGGTTTTCTTTCTATTCCTTCAGATGTGTGTTTTATGCCAGTGGGTTCTTGATTTGGGGTTCAATTTATGAACTTTTAATGATATGGAAGCCTGTGATGGTAAATTCAGTTTGAGCATGATAAGTGGTGTTTTTTGTTCAGTTACTAATCAATTATTTGGACTTTGGTATAGATAATTGTCCTAGATGGCCTCAGAAATCATGGCTGTGGTGAAAGAGGAAATGGATCCTGTTATTGAGAATGAAAATGTGGGTGTGGAGGAGAAAGAGGGAATTCTGGGTGAGAAAGCTAGTGAAAGTGAAGTTGTTGGGGATGAGATTGTGGTTAATGAAGCACCCAAAGTATCTGTAGCGAAAACCGAATCCTCTAGGAATGTTTCGAAAAGTAAAGTGTCTTCTACTACTGCTTCTTCGAAGGGTAGTAGACCGAAGAAGGATCAGGCGAGTTCGAGAGGCTCGGCTGGAATGGCTCGTGCGAAAAGGACGACGACAAGCCTGACCCAGAGTCTCTCGTTCCCTGCAAAAGGCGTTAGTTCTGATGTGATGAGGAAAAGCATTGATGTGTATCCAAAGAAACCGAGTGCCAAGGGGGGGTCGCTTTCAAATGCCACAGAAAAACCGGTTCCCCATTCCAGCCCAGCCGGAAGGCGTGCCTCGGGTGTCTTGAAGAGTGCTAACATCAATGTTGGAGGAACAACCAATAGAAGAAGAACTTTACCAGTGGCATCGAGTGTTCTTCACCAATCAACGGTTAATGTAGGCCTTGAGCTCGGGAACACTCTTTCTGGTAATGAAACCGAGAGTAAGAACACATGTGAAGGGTAAGTGATAATATTAGACGTTTTTGTTAGTCTTTGATGAAGAATTCTTGTTAACTATACAATTTGTTTCGCAGATCAAGTGACGAAAATATAAAACCTATTAAGGAGAATGAGGATGTGCAGTCAACTACTTCATCGTACCGTTCTTCTCTTAGAATTAACAATTTATTATCGTTCCGTAGTTCTGATTAACGCATTATTTCGCTTATGATATCTTCGATTGTAATCAGTAACGCTACTCCTCATGGACAACGTAGGACCAATGTCGCGGGATTCTCCTTCAGGTTGGAAGAACGTGCTGAAAAACGAAGAGAGGTTGGATATCTAACCTATAATTCCTAAATGCCATTTCGGTTTTCGACCTTAGGATTATGCTTTTTGTGTAATGGTTTAATGTGCCCGTCTCGTTCTTTCAGTTCTTCTCAAAGCTCGAAGAGAAGATACAGGAAAGGGAAATGGAAAGGAATAATTTGCAGGCAAAATCCAAGGTGTCACGCAACATAGTTTCTAATTTTTGTTCCTTTGTTTGACATTTTTAGTCTAGATAAATCTAAGCACTCTTCTTGGGATTTGATGCAGGAAAACCAAGAAGCCGAGATAAAGCAATTTAGGAAGAGCTTAACGTTTAAAGCTACACCTATGCCAAGCTTTTATAAGGAACCTGCTCCAAAAGCTGAACTGAAGAAGGTAATGCATATACGCGTAATCCCCCTTTGATTTTTCAAATTTTTGTGCAAATTACGATCCTTATGCCTCACAGATGTGGCATTTGAAACTAATGTTTGTGATCGAGAGACATAAATGTCTCCATCTTCCTTAAAGAATAAGAAGCAAGGAAAAGAAGAATAGTAGTAGAAAAGAAAATAGAGACAACAAAATTCATTGCGAGATATTGTGTTGTCATGAATTCCAGACGGGCCATCCTTAACATGTAAATAGGGGCATTGGTTTCTAGTGTTCTGGCTTAATGGTAGTGCTTCATTCTCGACCAATCTTTGGTAGAGAACTATTGACTGGTGTCTTTGTTTCAGACTTGTAAATTGATTAATAAGCCTGGCTTCTGGGAGAGTAACTAGGGGTGTTAGCGAACAGAGCTTTCAATAAACTACTCGTGTTCGTGTTCAGTAAGCGTTCGTTTATGTTCGTTTACCTAACAAACATAAATGAACAAATTTTAGAGGTCTAACTTAGCAGCTAGACCCTACCCGTATCCATGCCAGGCTAATTCTTTCCTCAAAGCTATCCACTTTGTGCAATGAATCTCGTTTTTATATTATACATGAACTTGATGTTCGAAGGAATTTGTCGATTTTACAGATACCAACGACACGCCCAATATCTCCCAAGCTTGGTCGGAGCAAAAACTCTGCATCTACAACCAACAGCTCTGAAAGTGGAGGGTCGGGCCTTAGTCCTCGAGTTGCTAAGGAACCTGACAAGTCACCCAAATCAAACGGGGATAAGAAGAGCACTGCCACTTCTACGAAACCAGTAAGAAATCTCCAAACCGACACTGTGTCTCAGCCTGCAGTCCCGAAAACTAAAGACAAGTCTGCTGCAACGAAATCTAAACCATCCAAAATTAAGAAAACGGGAGAGACTGAAACTGAACCCGTCATTCACACCGATGAACTCGAACAGAAGATGGATGAAAAGTCTGAAAACAGTCCCGCGGATGACAATATTGCTGCTGCACATTCACATCTGACGAACCCGGTGGTGGTGCCAGCTCAAGTTGCGGTTGAAGGTTAAAGAACACAAACATTACGGGCTTTCGAATGATTTGGTCTCTCTATTTGAGTTGTGAATAGGGTATTATTTTGTATTTACATCTAAAAAGCATCACAAGTGAAGTGGTTACTCTGGTCCTGTATTTTGATTTTTGTGCTCTTCACCAAAAACTTAGGACTTGCATAAGCTGTATGAGTTTATATGATTGATTCAATTTAGCTTCCTATCTAGTACAGATTGGTTTGCTTTTGAGTGAGTTTCAAGATTTAATTTGCTAATTGTTGTTTAAGTTGTTTGGACTTTTGCCAACTACTTAAGCTTATGATAGTTTAATTAATACATCTCGGTTACATAATGCCTTGAGATAACACTTTTCAAGTAACTGCAAACTCTTTTAATTTGTCAAGGATTTGATTCTTGGCTTTGAATATGAAGTAGCCTTAAATCTCTAGGTCAGCTATCCTATCTATTAAAGATGTCTACAATTCAGCCAGTGGATTAGTTGCTAGAACTATGTCTGGCGGTGGAAATCTTGGATTACAAAAAAAAAAAAAAAAAAAAAAAAAAACACTCCATTAATTTGTAAACACTATCCTATATTTCTAGACAATTCAGTACTACCATTGTTGTACAACTAGTCACCCTTTGGAAACAACTTTATCCCCAATTATATGGAAACTTTTAAGATGTTATGTACAACATTTTCACATTCATTAGCGGATTGTACTTTGTGCTTTGAAAGTTGTACTTCAAGCATAATGTACAATTAAACAAAACATAAAGTACAATATGTTAATGAACATTAAAATGTCGTGCATGACATTTTAAAATCTCCCTCAATTATATATACAGAGTATACTAAGCACTTTGCACCTACCTCTATGACTTTCCTGTAGGGAAGATCACAGAATTGAACCTCGTAGGATTTTGACTATTTTTGACTATAAAAAATAGAGAAAGTACATTTTCAAAAAATAAAAAAGATAGAGAAAGTACATTCTTCCAAAAGGCTGAACCCCAACGTTAAGGGCCCCCCTCACTTCGACCCGACAGAGCATTTGGGAGGATGTAAATCATGGTAACTCAACTGAACATGAACCACAGAGGCTAGACCGGTGCTCACTGCGCATAAGGAACCCCCTTCACTTTGAGAAATTGCTCCCACACTGAAAGTACATTGAATAGATATTACCTTGTTATAGAGTCGATAGTACTTGAATATATATATATATATATATATATATATATATATATATATATATATATATATATATATATATATATATATTGATGTAGTATATACGGACGGTATCAACTACAAGTACGATTCTAGGGTCGGTTCAGGTTCGGACACTTTGCCTAGTTTGCTTGACAGTGGGTCAGAGGTTCCTGAACTAATAGCTAGCGTGTAGAAATAGCCCAAAGTCACTCTCTCAGCAATAAATGCAGTATTTATAGGGAAGAGGAGGGAACAAGTTCCGGTCTCGCGGTATGCACGACACGTGGTACACATGCACGAGTTCAGGCCGGGGACCAAGGGGGCTTGGCCACGTGCTCTGATGTTCCTAAAGGCCTTGCAAATTGCAACTAGAACTAGGTCGGTAGGCCAGGGCGCAAATAACGTAAAGGTGCCTGTGCAAGCTGTCCTTAACGTAACTCGGTGAGTGACGAGGTTGAGAGAGTGTGGGTAGCTGGTCGGAGCGGGCCCAACCCATGAAGGGGGTCCAGTACCGTACTATGTGCACGGTTAGCCGGGAATAATCCCCATCATATATATACCGGAGTATAATTCTATAGAAGCTATTAAAGCACAATTATAAAACCTACTCAAACTAAGTAAATTCTTTAATGCAATAAAATATTTTTAGATAACTGATGAAATAAGAATATTGTAATCTCATTCCGCTCCATTTGCGGTGAAAGATGTGATGAATGCAAAGGAACAGTGGGCATATATGTTTGCAAAAGTAGTTAATTTATGTTGTCTTTGTTGGTTTCTAGATGCTGTGTATTGGATCAAAGTATGAAGCATGATGAAGGGACATCACATGTTGCCTGCCTGCCTTCAATTAGGGAAGGGGAAAATGTTGTTGAACCTGTTTCTCCACCAGTTATATATGAGCTGTATAATTTAGGTGTTGTCATACATCAATATTTTTTTTAAAAATTTTTTCTTGGGTTAAATTATTAAATATTTTGTTAATGCATTAATTAAATAAGTCTTGTGTGAGACCGTCTTATATGCAACTCTAGTATTTTTTTTAATTAAAACGTGATAAAAATCTACTTATAAAACAGTGAAAGTGTGAAACCATCTCGCCCGATACTTATTCAACTTTTAATTAGTAATAATTTATCTAGATGATGACATAAGAAAATCTCACGCCAAAACTGGAAAAAATCTCCGCCAAATCTTCTTTCATCGCCTTTGAGTACAGCACCCGGTCGAGACCCCTCCGATTGCCTAAACTGATCGCTCAACTGGGCTGACCGATAAACTACACGAGTGGATTGGGTCTGGCCTACTGGAGTCCACCCATCCTCCAAACAAGTAGTCGAATTGTAAACCCTCGACCGTCTAGGGGCATACTTGACTGGGTACCCTTTTAGGGGGTATCCATCAGTCCACATAGTGTTGTGTGAGCATAACAAAAAGTACATTTTTAATATACTAAAAGTACATTATTCGTGTACTAAATGTACATTATACAAAATAATGTATTTTTCATGAATACAATGTATAATTTAATATATTAAAAGTATATTATTTTTATATTGAACTAGTATTTGCACCCGTGCGATGCACGGAATGGATTTGTTGTAATATATTAAGAATATATGAATCGATATATAATTATTTAAATTAGAACATCAAATATTATATAGTGCAATTAAATATATGATTTGGATCGTTTATATATTTTGGTGTTATCATTGCTTGAATTTGTGTAAATAATTGCTCAAATTAATAGCTAATGTCTAGATGTACACATATGGTGCTATAACTTTGAAGATTTTATTTATCATTGTTTAAAATTTTCATAAATTAGGAAAATGTGATCATTCTCTAACAACTCAGTTATAGAAATGAATTGGTATCCTTATTCATTTGTATGGAAGATATATTTTTTTGTCTAGATATATAACAATTTTTTCATTTAAAAAAAAACTTAATATCACCGATTATATTTACACATTATTGAAACCTCTTTGTAGACGACATTGGTAGTGACAACACAATCCTATTCATCTTCGTCTAGAGCTAACACCTTCAATCCATCAGGACGGATTACTTGGATTAAAATATATAATGGTAGAATATTATTCAATTAGTTATCCTTTTATATTTTCAATCAATTAGTGATATCAGATTCATTTTCAGCCAATTATTCTTTTTTATTTTCAGACAATTAATTAATTAGAATATCAAATGTAGTGATATTTTCACCTAATTTTCATTCCATTTTTAATTGATGATGTAGATATTATTATTGAAATATTTCCGTTTCATTTTTAATTTACCTTTACTATTATTTAAAATATGCATTTACTATTGATAATGTAGAATATTATTATTGAAATATTTTTCTCCAATTTTTAATTTTCATTCCATTTTTAATTAAAATGCAATGATATGGTCATTTCTTTTTCTTTTTTTTTAGTCAATTATGGAGAATTTTTTTTATTTGCAGTCAATTATCAATATTCATTTCCTTTTAAAGTTTTCAGTCAATTAGTAATATTAGATTCATTTTCAGTCAATTATTTTTTTTTTTATTTTCAGTCAATTAGAATATAGATGTATTGATATTTTTTCCTAATTTCCGTCACATTTTAATTTGATGATGTAGAATATTATTAATGAAATATTTTCGTTCCATTTTTAATTTACATTTACCATTTTTAAAAATATGCATTTACTCCTTGATGATGTGAAATATTATTATTAAAATATTTTCTTTCTATTTTTAATATTCCTTTACTTCTAAACAAAAAGGAAACAACCAAAAAAAAAAAAAAAAAAAAACTTTGGACTTCTTACTACTTGCGCACATTGATGGCAAACAATTATGTTTGTAAACATTTTTAAGAGCCCCTCTTTCCAAACATTTTCAATGTGAGATTAAAATGATCCAACATCATTCTTCTTACCAATATCATTCTTCTTATTTTTTTCTAATTTTAATTTTATTTTGTATATCGTTTTGTTTGGATGATGATGATGATGGTGGTGATTATTATTATTATTATTATTATTATTATTATTATTATTATTATTATTATTATTATTATTATTATTATTATTATTATTAATTTTAAAAAATTGAGATTGAAAAATTCACCAAAATTTTAACAAATTCGTCATTTTAACAATTTATCTTTAATCAAAACACCAAAAATATTATTTAATAACTTAGTAATTTGCTCTAAACTGCTAAAAACTAAAACAATACATACATTTTGGGTTAATCTTTCCCAACCCACTAATAATAAATAAATAATAAATAATAATAATAATAATAAATAATGAATAAATAAATAAAAACTAAAATAAGAAGACAAAGCTAAGGTTTCTTAAATAAGAACCTTTTAACTTCTCAATACTTGCAACATTGATGGACAAACAATTATGTTTGTACCTCTTATATAGAGGAGCTCAAGAGCTTATCTTTTCAAACATTTTCAATGTGGGATCAAAATAATCCCATATCATTTACAAAGAGATGGGGGGAAAACTTGGCAAGGAGGATTTTACTTATATACATATTAAAAAAATTATTATTACTCATATGATTATTATTAATAATACTTGTTCCATTATTCTATTATTAATAACAATAATAATAATAATTTTTATTTATTTTTTTATATTATTATTATTGCTGATTAATTTATAAAACATAAAAAGGTTCATGTGAGGTTGCATAAAAAAAAACCGAAAAAAAATTGTAAAAAAATTATTCAGAATTTACATGTACATGAAATATTCATCAATAAGATTTGATTATGAAGTTGAATAAAAAAAATATCTACAAAACCAAGCCTACCTTATTATATAACAACAGGGAAAAAATATATTAACTTTAATATACATTCTAATTGTAGGTACCATTATTATGAACATGCAACATTCTACATAACAAAGGAGCCAAAACTCCAAGAAATGTTTCTCTGGAAATGCGATTTATTCACCTCGGTCCTCATAACGAACAATACAATGCTGCTTGTCATCAATATTTTCTACATCA